TTAATAAATCGTAATTAAGTTTAATTGTCATTGATTTTTATACGTACATACCACACACCACTATTAACAAGTTGGGGTATGAACGACTGTCTTACAAGAATTGTTAGCAATTCTTATTTTAAATTACGAATTATAAACAATACGGACGTGTCAAGTGTGCTGCTGCTGGAGATCTTGCTCTTTTTTATTTCTACAATTTTCTACTTGTTATCGATATAAAAATTCTTTTTCAATTTCTGCGTCTTTTATTAACTAGCTATTGCATTTCGATCTCTCATTTTAATACGTTGTTATATTTAATAAACTTCAAATGTCATCCGCACATTGCATAGTACCTATATTATAATTGTGAGAAATTATCTCATACAACACTGTCTTAAAAGATGTTCAAAGGACGTTTACATCATAAAAATGTCTTCAAAAGCCGCTCGAAGAACTATGTTCTATAGGATTTTTTAAATAAAGATACTTGAAATATTATTTTGATTTCACTTCTTTTTTTATGGCATTATCTTTGGTTTTTTCAGCAAAATGTATTTGGCGCCTTTTCTTATGTATTGTATTAAAAAGCTTTGATATGCTTATGCAATTAGAATGAGATTGACCATTTCAATATTGAGATATAAGAAATTAAAAATTGCACTTTTTATACAAAAAAATGCGGCCTATATAAAATTCACGAAAATGTTGTGTTTATTTTTGTAGGGCCTAAACTAACAGTGACATGTTAATAAAAAACGCATCTGATGAAGGAATGACACGAACATTTAAAAAAACAATCATAATTTTTGACCGTTTAGAAAAATAGATCCACGAAAAGAACGTTTCGATTTTCTTTGGCATGGTGGGAAGTAGAGGGAACGATCAGCGAGCTTGTAGCAAATCTAGTAGCACCGGCATTAGTCTTGCACTTATCTATTCATTTTCTTTCCATGTGCACATGTGGCCTTGGACAGACACAATCGAAAATTTTCTCTTTCTGGCGGGAGTGAGGTATCGCCACCAAGCCGAACACCGCGACGGAATTAAACTTTTGGACGGTATCGTGAGTGTATTATCTTAAACAAACAAAAACAATAATTTTTAATTACATAAGCGAATTCCTTCTTGTAAAAAATACGCTACAGCATCTTTTTCAGGACATACTTTATCTTCTTCATAAAATGTACTACAAAAATATACTTTACCGGAAACGCTACTACATCTCCTAATATACGTGTAGAGAGTCCAGGCAAAGCAGATACGTTAAAGTTTGGGAAGAAAAATGATCAGTTAAAATTAAGTAGATCAAAAATCTTTTTTATTCTTATAATTCTGTTAATTCTGTTAATGGAAATCAACTTTGAAATAATAAAATTAAATTAAAAAACTTGAACATTTAAATTTTTTAGTCAAAATGTAGAAAAAGAGAAATTTTCATTTTGCCCGATCTCTCTGGGCAAAGTAGATGGGTCACTCGAGCAATGAGGATGGAATTTAAAAAATCAAAATCAGTGTCGGCAGTCATCACAAAACTGCCAAATCCTCCATAATTAGTGCTTTCATAAACCCATTAGTGTACTAACTGCACTGGATCCAGTCTTTGAACAGTGAGTCGGTGTATTATATATATGTGTCAAAAGACACATCTTACTGCGTTGTAAAAAAAAATAAAAAGTGAGATAAATAATCATGTGCCTTTCGTTCATTTGAAAGATTGTCTGTGTCCCTCCATCTTCTCGGATTATTTTCAGTGCAATCACATACCGGGTGAAGAAGATGATTCATTTGCTTTGCTCCTATTCACTTTGCCCAAAGAACCTACTTGGCGTTAATTTGGAAAGGTGTTAGAATAAGTTTAAGTAACAAGTGAAACATTTTTACCTTGAATACACATTTAAAGACAAAGAATTCTTATAAAAAATCATTCACACTGATTAGAAACAATTATTGCTAATAATTAAACTACGTACCTTAATAAAAATCGCAAGAAAACACATAATTTTTTTTATTTCTCTATCAAACATGAATGAGCGTAATTATATGTTGTTTCGCACTTTCATGACGTCGATCGATCATTCCTTCAACAGTTAGAGACTCATAGCATTATCTCTGAAGATAAGTGAAAATAAAAAAATATTCGCATTGTATATATATATATATATTGGGTCATCTAAAAAATATCCACGGTTTTTTGTTCAATTTTTGAATGAAATTTTTCTTTATTGAAAATCAATTTTAATCAAGTATATATTGGCCATTATTCTTTTGCCATTTTTCGGGTAATTTCATAATTCCATCCGTGTAGAACTTTTGTGGTTTATCGGCGAAAAACTTTTTCAAGTGATTTTCGGCAGCTCTTTTGTCGGCCAATGTTTTTCCATCAAGAGAGTTCTGCAGAGATCGAAACAAATGGTAGTCAGACGGTGCAAGGTCCGGGCTATACGGTGGATGCATCAAAACTTTCCAACCAAGCTCCCTCAATTTTTGGCGCGTTATCAAAGATGTGTGTGGTCTGGCGTTGTCATGATGGAAGACAACACCTTTTCTGTTAATCAATTCTGGTCGTTTTTCCTTAATCGCTTCCTGTAATCTATCCAGTTGTGAACAGTAAAATGAATTAATCGTTAGGCCATGTGGTAACACCTCATGATGGACGACTCTCTTCCAATTCCACCATACACACAGCATCACTTTATTTGCCATCAATCCAGGCTTTGAAGTCGTTTGTGGTGGTTCGCCGCGCTTATTCCATGATCTTTTACGAACAATATTCTTGTATTTCGCCCATTTTTCATCGCCTGTGATGATTTGCTTCAGAAATGGGTTGATTTCGTTGCGTTTTAGTAGTGTTTCGCTGATGGAAATTCGATCAATCAAATTTCTTTGCGTTAATTCATGTGGCACCCAAACGAATTTCTTTGCGTAGACAAACCTTTTTCAAATGATTCCAAACTGTCATATGGTTGATTCTTAGTGCATTGGCTATCTCCTGACAGCTCATGCCGGTCTTGCTTGACCAGTTGCAAAATTTCATCGACTTTTTCAATGACTGGCCGACCAGAGCGAGGTCGATCTTTGACATCAACAAAATTTGCAGAACGAAATCGAACAAACCTCCTGCGTCCTGCGTTCACTTACAGCATCCGCGCCGTAACTTCACAAATTTGTCTGCATGTTTATTCTGCGTTTTTGCCTTTTTTGTAGTAAAAAAACATCATATAGCGTATTTCTTCAGATATTTCACTCAAACCAATATAACTTTTGACACGATTGATGAATCACCAAACTTTGTTGTACAAAAAATGTAACCTAAAATGTCATCTTTCAGACGCGCGTTCGTTTGACACAATTGGATTAGTGTTGCCCGATATATGACCATCAACATCATCTAGTGACAAAAAACCGCGGATACTTTTTAGATGACCCAATATATACAGGGTTG